ATTGACACCAAAGCTTATGTAATACCATGTCAAAGTATACACTATATTTTCACAAAATAATTAACAAAACTGGTATGGTCTATCAATTCAAAAAGAGTTCCCATTCACTATAAAATTGAAAAAATAAAAATAAAAGAATAATTGTCCATCCACCTAACAAAAATATGCTATACATGTACTTATGTTTTGTATCATCTAGTAAACAAGAACCATGATCTTAGTTTCTGAAAAGCAGATTTTTTTGTTATGAAGTTAAAATTTAAAGAATACCCAATTTCACCATTACCCTTTTTTCACATTTTAATAGAAAATACAAACAACAAACTTCTGTTCACTTTGTTTTCAATGATTTTCCTCATCAAACTAAACAAAGCAGTATTGAAAGCACTAACTATTTGCAGACTTGTGTCACTAAAATATCTTTAATTAAAAAAAAAAAAAAAGACAAAGAAATCAAATCATGGTGTTGTTTCTTGATGAATGAGCTTGAATTATACAGAAACGTATCAAAGGACGTCGTCAAATGCAGCAAAGAGCGTACCTAGAATTGCCAGTTGAGGTGTACCGGAGTGCAGAGTGAGGTAAAACAGTGTTCAGTCCCCAGCAAAGGTCAACTTATAAAGATTATCACTGATTGGAAAAAGAGACAGAGATGGGAAACTGCGGTAAAAAAACAAAGAGATCACTAACCTAAGAAGAAGAACTAAAAGATTTTCAATTATGTGCACCAAATCTGAGGTGTTGACGACGACATGGGAGATATGAGCAGAGTTGTATCTGGATCTGAAAGGAAATTGAAACGCAGCAATGATTCTTCACGGGAGGATGAAGAAAGTGTTCTATGGGTTTCTATGAGTCTGAAACTTTGTTCTATGAGTTTCTATGAGTTTGAAACTTTCAATGAAGAAGGAGAAGAAGAAAAATGGGTGCTTTGTGCTTGGTTGATGGACTGAGAGAGGGGAAGGGATTCACGGCTATGCTTTGGTGGAGCATAGGTGGAGTAAATGAAGAGAAGAAGATGAAATAAAAAGCTCAGTAGGAGTTGGGTGAGAACATAGAAAAGTTATTTCAGAGTGTTTTGTGCTTGGTTGATGGATTGAGCGAGAGGAAGTCACGGGTGTGTTCTGCTAAAGCGAATGGGTGTAGTAAATAAAAAGAAGAAGATGCAATAAAGATGTCAGTAGGCATTGGGCGAAATAATAGCGAAAAAGTTATTGACAAAAGACTTGACAGAAACGGTCAAAAATACTCTGAGTAATTTTTTTTGAATCTTTTGATGGATATGTGAACCAAACGCCATTTTTACTGTTATCTTTATTGGGAAAACCATAATAGTTTTTTAAAGACTAAACCAAACGGAGCCTCATTTTTTAATTTTTCTTTTTAGGAAAGTTAATGTTTAATTATTTATTATATTTAAGTAAAACAGTCAGCATCAACATATAATAATTTATAAGTAGAATGTGTATTTGAGGTGTGAACACGTGACTGTGGCAAGACTTGCTTGACTTATTCAGTTTGACATAATATGTGTTTCTATTATGTTTTCTAGATTCCCACAAATTACAGTCCTTCATCATTAGTAGCAGGGCTAGCCCAAGGAGTAGGTAGGTGAGGCACCTGCCTAAAGCCCCAAAAAATAAGGCAAAAAATAGACCAAATTTTTTATAAATTTTTTTTTTGAATATGTTACAAAAATTAAAATAGTGTATAATTTATTATCCAGACTTACCTAAGAGACCCCAAAAAAAGCTAAAAAGACCCAAATTTATTATAAACTTTTTACATATATTCCTACCTAAAGTTTGACAAAATAGTAGTTTGTACCTCTAGTTTCATATATTTTAATTTACACCCCTAAATTAACACATTGAATTTCTTTTAACAATGAAAGGCTAAAATGGTCATTTACTTGTCTCAAATTACTCACCCCAAATTCACTCTCACAATTCGACATTTACATAAATCATCTCCACCCCTCTTCCGTCGTCGGCCATTTGGATCTAATTCCAATTGATTTTCTCACTAAAATCGATCTGAATGATCACTCTATCATTTCCTAAGTGTTTTCCTAGTCTTGATATGTATGACTTCTTTCTACTAGTATACTTAGAAAAAAAAAAATCTATGATAAAAGTATATTTATAGCAAATGAAAAACAGATGGGCCCAAAAATTTTCTTTACTAAACATATATTATTCTGTACATAGCAAAATAACATATATATAAGCTTTTACAACGGTGGACAGTAATGCCATTTCTCTCTGCTTGTCGACGTCCCTCCGACCATTGCTCACCTATTTCCTACAAAACATGGGAAACAACGGGGTGAGCACAAAAATGCTCAGTAAGTAAATCCTTAATCTCTTCTATCCCCGCAACTTCTTCTTTGGTTCTTTCCTTACTTAATTCTCTTCTTCTTCATTCTTAGTTCTTTCTCTTTTCTTTCTCGTTTCTAATTGTCACTGCTTTTTCTTTCTTTCTAATTCTCCATGTTCTTTCTTTCTATCTGTTCTTTCTTTCTAATTCTTTCTAACCATGAGAGAAGTCATGGTAATATGCATGAATGAAATGCATATTCAATAATGCATAGAAAATGCATTTTCTTTCTTCTTTTCTATTTCTTTTCTTTTCCTTCTATTCTTTTCTTTTCTTTCTTTTCTTGCTTGCTCAAGCTCCTCTTTTCTTTTCTTTCCTTTGCTTGTTCAAGCTTTCTCATTCTTTCTTATTCTTTGCCGATTGCATTTAATTGATGCATGGATTTGGAACCCTGGCCATGTGAGTGAGTATAGTTCTCATGTACATGCACTCTTGCGGACTGTACAAATTCTTTCTTTCTTCTTAGGCCACTCAATTAAGGTGGCGTGCATGTAGGAATTCTTCTTGGTACAACCCTCATCCACATACACTCTTACGGATCGTACAAATTCTTCTTCTTCTTATGCCGCTCACTGAAGGCGACGTGTATGTGGGAAATTTTTCTTAGTACCCACGGATTCCCCATCGCAACAACCTATTCTTTTCTCTTCTTTAACACTTTTTCTTTCTTTAATTCTTTAGTGCTTTTCTTTCTTTTTCTTTATTCTTTCTTTAGGTTCTATGCATATGTAAGTATATGCATATGGATGGCTCATGCTTATGTTTCTTTCTTAAGTGCAATCATGCTATGTTGCACAAAAATAAGTTTCTCTACTTATGCATAAGCTTCTCTTAGGCATTTCATCAAACATCATGCATGCATACTTTAATTCTATCTTTGGCAAATCTCTACTTCTTTCTTAAACCATCCATTCATGGAGCAAAACTCCTCCACAATAAATTTAAACATGGCCAAGAAAAACACTTCAAATATTTTACTCAATTTCTTTCACCAAACTTCACTTGGTCACCACAATCTCAACTCTTCTTCTCATGGCTCAATTCTACTTATCATAAGCCATCTACTCATCAACAATCACATTCTCATCATTCAAATTCAACTCATAAGCATATACATGCATAACTAATTATTTGATTGCTTAAATCTTAGCTTAGGTTGGATTTACTTACATATGGCTTGAGTAGATCCACAAGAAACCCTTTATCTTGTTGGACTTGTTCTTCCTCTTAAACCCTAAGCATAAACTTAATAAGAATTCAACATTAACACAACTTAATATTATGTCTAGAACAAGAATCCTTACCTCTTGATGCTTAGGATCAAATCCTTATAAAAATTCAACCAAAAGCCCTCAATTTCATTTAGCAAATGGATGAAGAATTGAGAGAAATGGAGAGTAGTAGAAGTGTATGAGATATAGAGAATGGGAGGGTTTCTAAGGCTAAAACCTTTTTAGCTCATATAAATAAACACTCTTTCCCATTTTGCCCTTACACTTTCTTAAAAATTCCATCCTTGACCTTTCATTCTTTACAAATTCACCCCCATTCTAAAATATTCTCCATGAAATTTCCTTGCATTTCACTCCCCACTTTTCCTGCTAATTAAGGATAGAATGGTCACTTCACCCTTATGGAAAATTCTCTAGAAACTTCACAAGGAAAATCAGCAAGCTCGTCGCCCCAACGAAAAAATGCAGAGCCTACATCGCCACGGCGACGATTCTTCTTCGCTACGGTGAAGTCTGCATTTCCAAAATTTGCAAAGACTTCATCAAATTCAGGGCATTCACACAACCATATCAACATACAAACTTAGCCAAGCACCAATTCACCACATTAAGGGAAAAATAAACATAAATCAATAACGTACCTCAAAGTGGGCGTTACATGATACCCCTCAATTTGGCCAATTTTTTACGAATCTCATAACCCAACTCCACCACGGCGACAGCCATTTTCGGCCTTTTCGACATGTACCCGGCGTCGTTGGCCTTCCCCGACACCACCTTCCTCCCCTCAGCCCTCTCACCAAAACCCTTATTATACTCATCCATTTACTGCGCCAATCACCGGCCATTGATACCTTTTGGGTCGCGACTTCTCAAGTCTTTTCTGGTCAATCCTGGCATTAATTAGAAGTCACCCATTTCAGCACCCATCACTTCTCCAACATCTGCTCTCTAAAACCCCCCACCAACCTGACTCTATTAACTGGTCGGTCACTGTCCACCTCTCCTAGTGATTTTACATCTCAAAAGGTAAGAAAAATAAATTTGAAATAATTTTTTTTAATATATGCTTATATTATTAGAAGACCCCCAAAGTAACTCTTGTCTAGGGTTACAAATGTTCTTGAGACGGCCCTGATTAGCAGCTGAACCATTCTACAACTTGCTCTTGATAATTACAAGCATCAGCCATTATTGACTCCAATGTCAAATATTTCTTAAACGTAAACCAAAAAGAAAGAAAGAAAGAAAGAAAGAAAATGCCTCCAACATCAAGTATTTCTTGAATATAAAATTAAAAAAAAAAAAAAAAGTAACAAGAAAAGAAAACTGTCATAAGTAATAAAGATAGGAATGACAGAGAAAGAAAATTAATTTCATCATCCCAAATACTTCAAATAGTTATTACAAATACAAATCAATATCTCCTAACACTCAAACATTCAGAGAGGCACAAAGCCAGAACACTTATTCATAGCACTCAAACGCTAGAAGAGATGATTATTTTTTGTATAATAAGTTCTTTTATGCCAAACATTTATTCAGGTAAAAACTCCATAGCTGCTTCAAAATCCTCGAATTTGATTGTGAGCATTTCATCCTTGTCTTCACAATCATCACTAAGCCTAAGATCCAGATTCTCCTTAGCATTAGTTAACATTATATCCACTAAACCACCGTTCATTTTCATACGCTGAGTTTTTATTGTGTGTGTCTTTATTAACTCTGCAATGACATCTATAGCACAAGAAGAATGCAATTTAAACCCATGTAACACGCTATCCTTGGCTTGATTCTTCATCTTGAGACGGAGAACATTAGCTAATTCTTCACAGCTCAGATCTTTAAAATTAAAAATGTGAGTAACCCTTCTGCTAAAACCTTCATTAGAAGATATGACACGTTGCATTGGTTCATTGTAGCCAGCAAATATGACTAAAACTTTTCCATTGTCCATACAAGACATGATCTCTTCTAAGGCTTCTAATCCAAAGTCACGGCCACTTCTCTCCTCAGGGATTAGTCGATATGCTTCATCCACAAAAAGAATACCTCCCTCGGCTTCTTGGATCTGTGCATGAAATTATTATTATTATTAATAATATGTTAATATAAACCATACATTAATCTAATAAATTTTTCTGAGATATTATGTATTTTGAAATATCAAAGGTAAAGAGAGAATACAAGTACATCAAACTATTTACATTTTTTTAGTAAATAAATTTCTAGCTACGTCGAACATATGATATAGAAAGCAAAGTGGTGTACCATCCTCTTAGTCTTATATCCAGTGTGACCAATATATTGACCAACTAAATCTGTCCGTTGAACTTCTTTTACTTTGTCAGTTTTCAAAATTCCCACACTATTGAGTAGTCTTCCAAGGATTCGAGCCACCATTGTCTTACCTATCCAATATGAAAACAATCATTTAATCTGATAGTTAAGTAAACAAAATATTCCAGCAGCAATTTTACCTGTTCCAGGATTTCCTAGAAATGCCATGTGAGGAAGTCTTCCAGCAGTGCCGATTTTCACTCCAATGGCCTTGCGCCTCTCATTCAAAAGAATGCCCTTTGCCCATTTCCGGAGTTGCCTCTTAAGTTCATCCAGACCCACAATATTTGATAGCTCTTTTTCGAGGGCATCCATCCTTTCTTTTTGCTTGCTGCCTGCTTCAAGTAACTTTTTCTTTCGTTGCTCTCCTTGGTGAGAGTGTAATAAATCATGCAACTTCCCACTTTCTTGGATTTTTGAAAGATGATCTACAGGATTAATGTCCTCCTGCATTCAAAGTTACTTAAATTACTGCTATTTAGCAAGAAATAAATTTATTATTTTAGAATACAAAAATACATACATCATCAGTAGCATCACAATCAGCATTATTCTCGAGCAATGTCTCCACAATTGAACAGTCTTCAGCTCGACTTGAGTGATAAACAGAAAGCATCAGTGGTGTCGCTCCATACTGCATGTAAAAATGGGGAAATTTTGAATAAAATTAATATCACTATCACATTTTCCAGGAAAAAAAGTGCTACTGAATGGGAATATAAGGTAGTACAATCAGAAGGCACCTTAGTTTTGGCTTCAACAAGAGCACCATGAGCAAGAAGTAATCGTGCAGCTTCATTGCACCCATTCTTGGCTGCTACATGCAGTGGAGTTTCTCCGTACTGCAAAACTCAACTGATCAAAAATCCAGAATATATAACAGATATTTGTTGCTTTTTACTAGTTAAGCAATCATATTTTTACAAGCATATTTCGCTTTATAGTGATTAGATTTCTCTCTGGAAAATTTATAAGGAACACATACCATATTTTTCGCTTCCAAGTCAACTTTATCATCTTCTTTCCATTCAAGCAGAAATTTCACTATTTCTGTCTTGTTGTTACTAGCAGAAACATGAAGGGGTGTCTCCGACATCTGCATTTAAACCAAAATGAATGCATAAATTGGAAGATAAACACACTCAGGCCTCAGCTTAACTGTACTTAAATTAATTAATTTGCAAAGAAACTTAATTTTTGTTCCCTTCTTAATTTGTCCAAAACCCTCTAAAGAACCAACTGAAAAATTCTAATTCTTTCAAAAGGATTAAAAAATAAAAAATTAATCTTACAAATGCATTTCTTTCTTCGACAAGAGATGGATTATCCTGAAGTAGCTTCTGAAACCCATCAATATCTCCCGACTGAGCACAGTCATGAATGGTTATACGTTTCTCAGATCCTGATGATTGGTTAGCATGACCATTCTCCATGTCTATTTGTCGTCTCTCTTGATGATAATTAAGGAGATTAAAAAGAACAAAACAAAATAAAGCAAGAACAAAGAGAGATTTGGAATGTCCACTAAATGAAATGAAGTTTCGTTCCCTTTTTATAAGCATGTATATGCTCAATTATTTTGCTTAATTTTATTGCGTAACCTGTTAAAGGTCAGCATGGAATATTACAGAATCTTCGATGAAGTTTCGTAAGCTTTCAGGTATTTTTTTCTTATCTCTATCACCAATAATACTTGTATCTCTAATGTCTGTTTTTCTTTATTGACTTGACTAATGTGTTTATCATATGTCGAAGAAAGATGACTCGACCTAATGCTCCTTTCTTTCCTTCCTGGAAGGAGCGCTTGTATGTCGAACCCATTTACAAAAAATCATATAAATATAAATTTATCAGTTAATGGAATATTACAATGAAGTATCCTTAGCTTTCAGGTACTTTTTCTTGCGGCTTTCTTTTTTCTTTCAGAAAAGGGGCCCTTGTGTGTCAAGGTATTTTTATATATATTAACGGCTTCACATTCTGCGCAAGGGCCGACTAGAGCATTATCTATTCCATAGCTTACCATAGGTCATTTTCATATAGAATTTAATCACAATTTTCTTTTTTTTAAAATTTATTTGATATATATTGTAAGCCAATGCATATATACCATGTAAGTACAGTAAAACCATTCTATAGTGATACTCTATATAGGAATAAACTCTATATAGTCATAAAAAAATTTATTCATAATTTGGGATAGAAATAAATAAGAATAAACTTCACATTATAATAAATTATAATTTTTCTAATTCCCGTCTTAAGAAAAGTTGCCTCCACATAGTAATAATTATCTGTATATTGGAGAAAAAAAATATATGGTATGTTATATTAAAGATTTAAGATGAAATAAAATATTTATCTGAAGTTGTTTAGGATAATAATTTATACTTTGGAGTTGTTATTACATCTTTTAACTTGTGGGTACATTACTTGTTAGCATGAATATTATCTTGTTAAAGCCAAAGCATTTCTAGCTTCTCAAGCATGTTTAAAGCTTTTTGACATGAAACTTTTTATATTTCCGTGCTATCATCCTCATAATTATTTATTTTCTCTTCTTGTTTAATTGTAGAAATGATTTCTTCTTTTGTTAAAGCATACATGATTTGTTACTCATTTGGATTATTAAAGAAGACATTAATATTCATTCAATTAGAGTAGGGAAATTTTCGAATCTGATCACTCAATTCTACAATGACTCTTTGATTCTCCTCATCCACTTCATTTGTAACTTGCAATTCATTGACATCAGGGGTCTTGAGTATGTAATGCTTAAAACAATTGGTAATTGTCTGTGGTTTCACATCAGTTGTCATACAGTAACTGCATTTACAATTCCATCAAGGACAATTATCTTTGTTGGTTTCAAAACACAATCTTTTATATGTTTCAAAAGTAGGCAATTGAAACGCTTAATTAAAACCTTAATGTTATTAAAACATGAATTGAAATCCTAATATTGTACTACTAAAACATGAATTATGAAATAAGAAATTTTTTTAAACTACACCTCTATTAAGTTATAACCTTCTCATAGTAATAAAATTAGTTAGTCCCACCATTATAACTATAGAGAGGTTTTACTGTATAAATTTTAATAATACTACACATCTCATTAAATAGAAAAATAGTTTAATGAATATAAAAAAAATTTATATATAATATAAATTTATTAGTCTGTGGTAAAAATGATATTGTACTATTTTATATTCTAATTTTTTCTCCTTTTCTTATAATTCTCCTATTTTAATAATTTTATCATGACTCTCTAACATAGGGTCTGTTTATTTTATTTTATTTTTTTCCTTAAATCTTCATATAACTCATTTTAGTAGATTAAAATGCTTTAGATTTCTTTGTTGTTTTAACTTATATCTGCTTATAAGTAAAAAGCTAAAATATTTAACTTTTATCTTACTACTAAAACATCTTAATCTATGATTATTTTCTTTGGTAAAAAGTACCCCTTTTATATAATTCTAATATGTATGGGCGAAAAATTGTATTGGGCCTGACGAGGTCCAATAACAAAATCGACATATTACGACCTAGTGCCTTAGCCCAATTCCAGTTGGGATTACGTTTTAATCTGCCTTGTAAACTAACCACTCTTTGAGTTAGCCTATCATACAAGTTAAACTAAATTGGATTCCAACACATTAGCCCACAACAGTCTAAAATAAGAATCAAAATCCTATTTACTTTCCACTTTGGTCAAGATTCCAAATCTTACTTGAAGTGATAAGCCTAGTCTCATAGAGGCAATGGATAATTCTTCTTTCCTGATTGAGACTCATCTACCAAGTAGGACTCAGAGTCCTACTAAGACTCCAACCTCTTGGGTTCACTATATAAATAGAGGCAAACCCTCTCATTATGGAGTTAGAAATAGCCCATAAGCTCTTAAAATTCTTGCTCTCAAGAACCATTGTCTCTCCCACTGTAAAGCTTCATTTCGGTTGACTTTACCACCCTAAACCACCGCAAAGCCTGACTCCGACCACTTTGTGTTAGGATAGCCTAGCTGCATTATTCCGATAATTTGTTCCTCTCTTAGTCCTCACTAAAATACCCTCAACCTCACTGACTTGAGCGTCAAAATGCCTACGGTCGACACCACATCGGTGTCACCCAAGCCTTCATGTCCTATTTTCCTCTTTGTGTAGGTCCATCAGATTATCAGTGGCTGAATTCTCACAGGATCTGTCTCTTCCGAATCAACTGTAGATTTTACCGTCTACATAATTTTTGCAAATCCTTTACGCATTATGTATTTTTAGTACTATTTTAATTTTTTTATTATAATAAATTTTAAATATTATATCAAAATATAATAACATAGTTATCATTAATTTACATACATTTGTTTTGTTTATATTTTCATAAATTAGATAGCTTTTACACTCTTGCAAAACTAAAGGCATTGATTAATTGGAAAATTCTTTAAAGTTGCACCACTTCTGAATCAATGATTTTATTTATGATACACTTGTGATCAACGCAACCGTGCGATAATTGTTATACTTTATTTCTACTTTTGTTGTGTGTGATTTTTCTATCTAGCTCGGAGAATTGTGAGGTTAAAGCTCGATCCAGAGCCAACTTGACTCAACCGATTATTCGACCCAGCATAAGCTCGACGAGTTGTAACTCAACCTAGCATAAGCTAGTCGCGACCAATCCTTACAGTTGTTCAACCAACTCACATATAACTTTAGATCTGGGTATCTCGAAAGGAATCAGATCAACAGCAATCTTAGCGCAATCACAACGCTCAATTGCGAGAATATCAGAGTTGTATTTCAAACTTATTTGTAATCCATTTATTTTCGCTCTTTCCTTTGTACAAAATCTATATATAAACCCTTTCCAATGATGAGAAAGAGGTTAACAAATTATTCTAGGATTATTATTGTAAACTCTCACAGCAAATACAAGAATAGTGGATATAGGCTCAATAGTATAACTCACCGAACCACTTTAAAAACTTTTTTGTCATTTACTTAACTGCATTTTCCATTTAAATATTGTTGGTTACCTGTAAGCACGCATAGATCAGTTCCGATACCATCAAGGTCGATCAGATCACTCTAGTTGGTGTATTCCTACATCAACATTTTGGCATTAGAATAAGGGCCTCCACCAAATTTCAGAATTTTCGACAAACAAACTCCAGTAACTGGGTCACTCAAAGCCCATGATGGTACGAACCAAATCAAAGACCACTACCTAGAACCATGACAACGTGGAGACCACCTACTAGGAGGTGCACCAAGACGTCATTAGGCGTCGACCACCAGTGTCACCAATGTAGCAGCCACGAACCAACTATGGGCAGGGATGTCAAATTCTGAGAATTGCTAGTTGGTGGAGATGATCAAAACGATGGTGGCACAGGCTGTGCAACAAAATGTGGTTGAGTTGAGAAATTATCAATTAGCCCCCCAAGACCTTGACCAACCGCACTTCACCGATGTCACCCCAACAGGTCAAAACTTGGCCAGCAACCAATCTGATTTGTCAATGCCGAGGCATGACTGAAAATCTCAACACTGCCAAGAATATTCCCCTAAAAAACGAGAGTCCTGCGAGCAAACTAACCTCGAGAGGCGACCAAGCAAACAACCCATAGGAAAGAACTAAGATAATGGTCGCCAGAGGGGTACCCAACCTACTCGACGGTATCCCCAATGTCAGCATGCTGGTTTTAACCCATACCCAAGGCAAGCTCAGTTCTCACAAGCTCGCAAGATGATTCATGTGCACCAATCTGGCAATGACTAATGTTACGATTATAACCAATGTCATGAGCAACGCACTAATGAGCATGATAACACCTACCAGCCCAGCCATCATGACTCAACCTTGCACATCAATGCGCATAATGGAGGGGGCTCACAAGCAACAGACTTGCGAACTCACCTATTCAAGGTAAGGATGAACAAAGCCAGCCAGGGCAATCCTCACAATGAAGACTTAGATCGGGTGTAGAAAATACTTGACGATCTAAGAGCCCGCCAAAGCAATGTGGTAGAAGAGATAGTGAGCTCTCCCTTCACAGAGGAAGTTTGCCAGGCCCCGTTGCCCTAGGAATTCAAGGTGCCAGAAAGTAAGTTCGATGGGAAAGGAGATCCCAGAGACCATCTTGATACTTTCAACGACCTGATGGAGCTGTACCAGGTTTTTTGACTTGGCAAAGTGTCGCTAATTCACGGTCACATTCTTAGGGGATGCTAAGAGTTGGTATAAAAGACTCAAGGCGAACTCTATTAGTTCTTGGCAACAATTCTCTTTGTTATACTTACAGCAATTCCAAGCGAGGAGATAGTTCGCAATGTCACTCAACTACTTGAGCAACATTCATCACGAGAGAGACAAAACACTAACCTCATATTTAACGAGGTTCCAAAATGAGTAGGCAAAGGTCATGGATGCACCTGAAGAGTTAATTTGGACTTTGCCAATCGTGGGCATTAGGCCGCAAACAAAGCTGTGGAAAG